ACACTTTTTTTTACTTATATAATCTTGACTTGATAAGAATACTTTTATTTATCTCATATATTTATAGATATTTAGTAATACTTTTGCTGATGCTATGCTGTTTTATAAACAGCATGAGGTTGCTATCCTAAAGAATGCAGATGTTACAATAAGTTTCATACGTCACATCAATGCTCTTTTTGATGCTTTAAATCGTAGATTTCCACAGGAAGGAATCAGACATGATTCAAATGATCTCAAGGTAATAATAATGATTCACTAGGAAAACCTATAAATGTTTTAATTAACAACTTTTTTAAAATAGGTTAATGAAGAATCTCTAGAATGGTTAAATAGATGGGAAGCATTCAGATTACAGATTAGAAGCACTGATCAAAAGGGATTTTTGAGCCATCAGACAGCAGAAAATCTACGCTTGACGCTGACTAGTATCTTAGCACTCGTCAGACAATTGCTTCCAAACTCATATTATATCCTGACAGCTCACTTTAATCAGGACCCATTAGAGGTGAAACTGACTTAATGTAATGATTATATAATCTTGTATTAAACTCTTATGTTTTCTTTTCAATTAGCGTTTATTTGGAATGATAAGATAAGGAAGTGGAAGCAATTCTCATCCCACAACAGTACAGTTCTTATATCTGTACGGACTGATGATTGTTTACAGTTTGGTTTGTCTTCCCAAACAAGTATCAGTTCAAACTGATCCTGGATCTATCCTTATTACTTTAAAAAGTCTTCTTCATAGTCATAAAAATACATTTAAAGAAGTTCAAGAACAATTGGAAGAACATTTAGAAAATTTGCTTTGTGATCCAAGTCTATACTATGGAGATCCTAGTGATAGTGAATTATTAGATCATGATTATTGTACACCAGAAACATTTAAGTTTATCCTACATTATTTAGGAGGTTACATTGCTTATCGTCTACTGCCATCACTCGGTTGTGATGAATGCAAAAATATATTAACAGCAAAACCTGAGGATGCTGCACCAGAGAAGACATTTACATTCATCAAATCTCGAGGAGGTTTGTTATATCCAAGCTATAAGCTTTGCCAATTGATGTACTGGGCAGAAAGCAAAGTATGCGAAAAATTAACAAACCCAAACATGGATGTTTATTTTTCAATAATGGATAATATATTAAATCAGTGCTCTGTTACATTGATGATAGGATGTGACAATGCTGGTCACAAGTCCTACTTGACTTCCAGATTTTTGCACTTTTTTGTTACTTGTCGATTGCATTTTTTCACGCGAACGATTAATCAATCATTTATTTCATCAGTTGAAAGTAAAAACCATAGAAAAATTTCTCACTTAAAGTAAATTTTAATAACGCAAATAATAATAATAATTATTATTAATATGTATAATATAATTTGTTTGTATGTATAATAAATTTTTAACGTATAATAAATTCACATAATAGCACAATTTAATAATAGTACTATTGTGTCAGTTTTGTTCCTTGTCATTTATTTAACTAAATATCAAACTCAGCGTTTTTAAAACACTTAATAAAACATTAAACACCTTCCATCGCTGAGAAATGTTTATTTTATAAAACACTAACGTTTTCAGATTCATGGAATAGACCATACTCAGGTGTAAATGAGTTGGAACGTATTTTATTAAATAAACATGTAAAATATGTAAATTACATTAATTTGTGATAGTGATTATGCGTGTTGGAAATATTTGTGACCTCTGGTCTAAGTAATTAGTATATATGATTTAATGATATGATTGGAGTAGTTGTAACCTTTACATTTTCGTTAAGAAAACTTGTGAGGAGTATGCAAATTACACTACTTATCTGCACACAAAACTTTGTCAATTCTTTAAAAATACTTCTTTAATTTACATTTATATATTTCTTAAATAAATAAAGAGTTTTGACATTTTCATTAATTGTATTTATCATATTTTACAGGTTTATCTCATCGTAAAACAAAGAACGGGAAATGTCAATGTGAAACTTGCTAGAAAGAACTTACTTCGAGATATGGATTTAAATGTCACCTGAAGATTCATATCGGAGAGAGATTATTTACATGTGATTATTGCAAACGATGTTTCACACAAAAACAAAATCTGATAGCTCATCTCCGAATTCATATAGGGGAGAAGCCTTCTTTCACTTCTGATCATTGCACACAGAAATTCACTTCCAGATCGCATTTATATGGTCATATTATAAGACATAATGTCTTATAATATGACCATATAAATAATGTCTTTTACGAAGCAAAATGAAGAAAAGAAAAATGGATAAAAACGATTGGCAGGTTGCATTTATTTAAAAAATATTTAATACTCGTAATTATATTTTATTGAAAACAAGAAATTAGTTTCATTTTCTTGATTTGTAATTTTTACATTTTAAATAAAAAATTCGATTTTATGGACTAAATGGGAAATGAATTGTAAAATTTATAACTAGTTGACAAGACTATGTCTTTTGATTCCGATGAAACCGTGCTTTAATTTAATTTGCTTTATTCAGACACAATAACGTGACTCCTTTTAAACACTTGGTAGATTATTCATCACTTTATTCACTTTATCCAACTGAATAAAGTGATGAATAATCTGCCAAGTGTTTAAAAGGAGTAACGTTATTGTGTCTGAATAAAGCAAAAGACTATGTGTTGTTTATAAAATCGTACTGTCGTTTTATGTTACCAGCATAGAGGTATGAAGGAGTACATGTCGAGAGTTGATATTTGGCACAGAGTATTAGGTGTCCAAATCATTTGCGCATAAAAAAAATCCAGAATCGTAGGTAGTCAGGGAACCGAGAACCGAGTCAAAATAAAATACAAAATGGCGACCCTCTTCTACAAACAGGCAAAACAGCCACCTCACCCCACCGAAGTCAGGTGGGGGAGAGTATTACTCACAGTCATTCTAAGAAGTGAACTCTGACCTTAGGACTGAACACGTAGTTTCCTGTCCTGGATCCTGGTCCTGGATAGAATTGGAAGCGTTATACGTGTAGCATCCACCCGAGGTCGTAGGCTTCCACCAGCTAAACCGCGTGAGGTTGGTGCTCTGTAAACGCGCGCTTATGGCCAAGTGCGCGTCAAACGCGCGTTGATAGATTTTGGTTAGAACGCGCGTTTCGCGGGCGTCAGCCGCGCGTTTTGAGATACATGTTCTGCCATGTTGTTGTACATTTGATCGCGCGCTTTTGGTAGAGTAGACACACATTGGCCGAAATGGAGAACGATCAGTTCGATACTGATCTATTTATTGATGAAATCTAAAAGAGGTCAGCCATCGTCAAATGATTTTATAGATATTCTAAAAGAATTAAAAAACTTGGGTTCATATTGTCTTAGCTTTGGATACAACGTCACAAACATTCCATGCGTCAGTCTATCTCGTAATATTGGGTGCACCCAAAATTCTCTTTGCCTCTGCCATCGACTTTTATAGCGACGATGGAGGAGGCACACACAAGCAATTACATTCACATCCATTTCCAAACTGAGCCAGTGTAAACTGTCGTCGAACACCGAGCTAAACGCGCGGTGTGTAAGCTGCTAATGCGCGTTTAACGCAACGTAAAACGTCTAATGTGTACACAGCCTTTGGATGCTTACAATACAGAGCTTCCACTCCGCCACTAATATTCGAATATACAATAGCAATCTTATCTGTTTTTTTTCACGTGTAGTATAGAAATTTGTAATAAGATACATAATGCGGATATAATAAAATATCGTGCGATTATTTTTATATAATTAAAATTAATATGAATTTATTTTTTAGAAAATACAAGGGAAGCGGCGCATCTACCGCTTCCAATGACGGCACGCCACTGGTCAACTGAGTCTATAATGATATTTTTGCATTGCAAAAACAAGAAATAAGTTCAACATCTAAAGCTGAGGTCCCAGAGATTGTTAGCATCCATATTAAAAAATCTAAAAAATTCAGATTAGAATACCAACTGAATTCTAATCCGTTTCGCAAACGAAAAAATGAAATCAAATTACCGATTCTATTGCCGCGAGAGATCTGAATTTGATTTGATCCAAATTCTTATAAATTATCATTGAACGTTTGTGCCAGTATGCTGTTTATTATTTATTATGCATGCTGCCCGACTTAATCGTTGACAGGCTGTATATATATTAATTAAAACCGAGTCTAGCCATTCTACATAGAAGCTAGTGTATCGAATCCGTAGATCAATCAATCAAACACGTTTTATATATAATTTTATTAATATTCTAACTTGTAGAATTATCTATATCTATATCTATATCTCTCTCTATATTATATATATATATATATAAACGGACATGTACAGTATGTCCCTATATTTCACTTTTCCGCCAAAACTACACATCGCACGTGAATGGTGTTTGTATGTAGTGGTAGCCTCAAGTCTCCATTCGTGCATAGGGGTGGTTGCGTCTCGATAGCTATAAGGGTGCGGGAGATATGAGGCTGAAAGTGGTTGAAAGTGGCTTTCTATTTCGAATGTTTTGTTCGAATTTGTTCGAATTAAATTCGAACATAAAATTCGAATATTGGTTCGATTATAGAACGATTGTAAACGTTCCAGAAACGTTGAAAATAGTTCGTTTGACTTGACGTAAACAGGAGACGTTTAGTC